CAGAGACTTGTCCCGAAGCCACCCCTGCATTGTCTTGGCTGCTTTGAACCTTCACCCCAGTCTGAGGTCCTGAGCGCTCTGGAGCAGGTTTTCATCAAGGATCTCTCTGTACTTTGCTCCGTTCATCTTTGCCTCGATGACTAGTCTCCCAGTCCCTGCCACTGAAAACCATCCCCACAGCATGATGCTGCCACCACCATGCTTCACCGTAGGAATGGTGCCAGGTTTCCTCCAGACGTGACGCTTGGCATTCAGGCCAAAGAGTTCAATCTTGGTTTCATCAGACCAGAGAATCTTGTTTCTCATGGTCTGAGAGTCTTTAGGTGCCTTTTGGCAAACTCCAAGTGGGCTGTCATGTGCCTTTTTACTGAGGAGTGGCTTCCGTCTGGCCACTCTACCATAAAGGCCTGATTGGTGGAGTACTGCGGAGATGGTTGTCCTCCTGGAAGGTTCTCCCATCTCCACAGAGGAACTCTAGAGCTCTGTCAGAGTGACCATCAGGTTCTTTGTCACATCCCTGACCAAGGCCCGTCTCCCCTGATTGCTCAGTTTGGCCGGGCGGCCAGCTCTAGTAAGAGTCTTGGTGGTTCCAAACTTCTTCCATTTAAGAAGGATGTAGGCCACTGTGTTCTTGGGGACCTTCAACGCTGCAGAAATTTTTTGGTACCCTTCCCCAGATCTGTGCCTCGACACAATCCTGTCTCGGAGCTCTATGGACAATTTGTTTGACCTCATGGCTTGGTTTTTGCTCTGACATGCACTGTCAACTTTGGGACCTTATATAGACAGGTGTGTGCCTTTCCAAATCATGTCCAATCAATTGAATTTACCACAGGTGGACTCCAATTAAGTTGTAGAAACATCTCAAGGATGATCAATGGAAATAGGATGCACCTGAGCTCAATTTCGAGTTACATAGCAAAGGGTCTGAATACTTACATAAATAAGTTATTTCTGTTTTGTATTCTTAATAAATTTGCTAACATTTCTAAAAACCTGTTTTCGCTTTGTCATTAAGGGTTATTGTGTGTAGCTTGATGAGGGGAAAAAAATTATTTATTCCATTTTAGAATAAGGCTGTAACATAACAAAATGTGGAAAAAGTCAAGGGGTCTGAATTCTTTCCGAATGCACTGTCTACCCTACTGTCTACTTTCACCACTAATTTAGACAAGTTTCTGCTGATAATTTCCATTATTATTATTATTTATTATTATAATTTCCGACATTTGGTAGGCCAGCTTCTCTTCTGTCATAATTTGTTGCCTTAGAAGAGTAGTGATCAACAGAATAATGTCTTACGTCTATAGAATGAATGCATGAATCTAGTCAACACCGCTAACGTTGTCTGTTTTTCGTTTAGGGACCTGGAGAAAACGCAATAACTCCAAAAACTGTGGAAAGATTGGTCCTGTGTCATCAGACTGGTTTTAAGGAAATTAAAAGCTTAAAAAACGATTAAACACGTTTCTGATGAGACTTCAGTATTTTATGTGGTTGAAATACTGTCTGCTGCTTGCATAACATTGTCAAATATAAGACATTACACACACTTTTGCATTTTCTCAAGAAATGCTGAAAAAAATAAATCATATTTCTCCACTCAAGGCAAAATTAACATTTGTTGTATCGTTTTACTGCAAGAAATGCATAATTCTGCAGGAGTTAATATTATATTGTGCTACATGTGAGAGGTTATAGGCCTACTGTCAGTGTCCATATTTCAATTACTATTCCATTTAACCCATATGAACTTAAATTAGGAATATTCTGTTTATTCAATGATACAGGGTCACTCGTGAATGGGATATCAAAGGTTCATGTAAACAGTTTATCCCGAATAAGACCTTAAGTGGGATATGAGCGAATTTCCGGAATACTGCGCGCATGTAAACGTGGTCAATGTTTGGTAGGACTGGGGCGGTCAGGATACAACGCGTGCTCCTCTCACTCACGTGACTCTGCTGCCTGCTGCAAGCGCTCTCTCGACACCAATGAGGGAGTTCGATTAATCCCACCCGGGCGCCTGTGGAAGTGTGTTTCGAATCGGCTGAAAGTTGATTGCATTCGATTTGGAACAGGGCTGCCTTCTGGGCGTGAGCCAGGGGCCCCGTTCAAAGCCCACCGCGAAGTCGGCTCAAAACAAAAGTGACGTAATTAAGCACGTGTATTCGGCCTAATTACTAGGATTCAGTGTTTTCCCATGCAAAAGGAATTCCTTTTTTAAATAAAAACACTTTATATGCCTTCCCAATGAAAACTAGTTAGACATTTTATGGAAAATTGATGTATGTTTCTGGATGATGAACCATGCTGCCTTGTTGACAAAATGACCATGCGACTCAAAGATTCCTGTTCAATTAGAAGGGATCGCCTCCCGCTTTCGTGACGAGCCTATGACCGGTGACCCGCGGCTCAGCATAATCGAATCCGCCCAATGACATACACCTCTCCCGCCCAGTGATGCCAATTTAGCAATTTTGTTGCTAGATTTAGCAACTTTTCAGACTACCCTGTCAACTTTTTTTTCAAACAGCACCTAGCAACAAATGTAGCTACTTTAAAAAATGTATTTGGACCTTTTAGCGACTTTTGAAAAGTGACTCAAACGCTAAAATGCAAGCGTTTTCCCTCTAAATTACACAAAAACGATGTTCTCTGTCACACACTCAGTCACAACACACATGCCTGGCTGCAAAAGTGCATTGTGAGTGACGTCAGCAGCAGGCGCTCAGCTCGTGCACAGGCAGCAGCAGGCCAGCCAAGCAGCACAACAACCTGGAGAGAGCTGGAGAAAGATGCCTAGCCCACACATCATTATTTTAGTTAAGTTGCTTGTTCAATAAGATAGCATATATACCTTGTTATTAGCTTGTACATATAACTGTTGATCAGTTAGGTAGCATGTTAACTAACTACCAATACATTGCTTAAAACTATAATTGTTCAGAATGTGTAGGTTTACTAGTTAATAAGAAAATAAATAAAATGTAATTGTTCAATAATGTGTAATGTGTAATTGTTCAAGAATTAAATGTGCTGTGTTTAAAAATAAAAATATCTGATCAAATAAAATGTGTTGTGTTTATATTACTTTTACAAATAAAAATATGTGATAATAGACAAACAAATCTAAACTAACAAATGTCAAATCATATTTGTCAACGAGATTGCCAGTATTATTAAATTTGAGTAACGTTATTGTGTATTCTACGTAATGACGCAGTTTTACGTTGTTACGTAATGACGTCATCACGCAATGCCATCATAACGTAATTTAGCAACTTTTAGCAACAAATCGACCTGCCTCTAGCAACTTCCCCTGAAAATGAGTTGGCAACACTGCTCCCGCCCCAGCACTCACTCAGCCGCCCCAGCACTCACTCAGGAACAGCCTGCATTACTGCTTGATAGTCAGCAGCAGCAGGTCACAGTGAAATTAATAGGCTAGATTGTTAATTTTTTTTAAAGAGAAAAGCCATGGCGGCCACGGTGCAATTTAGAAGTAGCCCCAAAACCCGCAACCAGCGTGCAATACATTTTTAAACCTCGAGATCATTTTCAAAGTGGCCCAATTTTCTGGAAAACCGAGGACATGTCAATCCAGGTGGCAGGTGTGGAAAAAGTCCAATTTTAAGGGTATTCCTGAACACCATTTAGGGTCGTGCATAAAAGTGGGCATGCCATCACCAGTAGTATGCCTAGTTCAAGGTGCAACTGGCCCTGTGCACTTTGAAGTGATCCAAATGGCAAATTCATCTATACATTTAGAAACATATTAAACCAGAAAAAAATTTGAATATTTTATTTGGGACTTACTGAGTCTGCCTTTAAGCGTAAATCATAGTCCACAGACGTTAGGACACAATAGTCAGGTGTCCAGTCAGGTGTTCCATTGTGACATGACTCTGAGACCACCATCTGTGGGGGATGCACAGCCCGAACTTGCACCTCTCCACAATTCCCAACCAGCGAATCTCCAGTACCCATCCTCATACACCACACCCCCTCGTGCATTATTGCTTAAATAACCACCTTTTGGACTATGATAAACCCTTTATATGATTGTCATGCCATGTTTAGCTTGACAATGACAATGGAGTAGGCAAAAGCACGAACAGATCTGGGAGGCAATTTTTGGGGTAGTAGTGTAGTTCATTTTAATTCCTATTCCATAGTGTTCAATAGTTAATTCAGTTACAGTTTTCCCCTCCCAACTCAGACCACTCCCAGACAGTCCTAGCAAAAATTATTATTTTTGTTTCTTTTTGACCATTTTAATTAAAAACAATCACAGTAATCTCCTTAATTGTTACCCAGAAATGATTTGATATTGAGATAAAAACGTTTTCATTGGACCTTTAACCCTAAGTCACTCTGGATAAGAAAGTCTAAAATGACTCAAATTTAAATGTCAAGTTTACTTGTCCACCCAAGTAGTAGACCTATAGAAGCTTACAGTATTTATGTTTGTTCATTGCATAGTTGTTCACACGTGTGGATTTGTCCACAGCACATGTGAATGATCATGATCTTATGTGGGGTCAGGGTGGTCAATCCAAAGATCTTCCGTTTTTACACTGAAGTTATGAGTCTTCTCTGTCCACTATCCGGATGTTTTCAATGTATTGTTGTGGGAGGGGCTTCTATACATTTGGATGCTGATCGTTGTGGACAGGCGTGGGACACACGTCACTGGCAACCATTCAAACTAGTCTTGAGATCAACGTTGCAATGGAGATGTGATCGCTAGCGACAATGCCTGTCCTCGCTAAATTGTTGCCCTCAAACGTAACTAGAAGTTGTTTCCATGTTTACAGTTTAACATTTCCTAACAGATGCATTGGACAACATGCGCGAGATTACATGATTTTTTAGACTTGTAAAATTCGGTTGCTCATGATAGCGGATATTTGCGCTAAAGATGGTGCAACAAATGCATGAAGCAAGAAAGCTAACGGAAAAACTTTAGAGAGCGTTCGGACCAGGGACATTGAACTATGGAGAGCCCAATGTTTTCGAAGTACTCATGGCTTGATTTTCTTTTCTCGGTAGTCGGTGTGTGTACTTTCTTGTTTGACGTGGGATCCGACATTTGGGTCGCTACGGAGTTCTACTCGCGTGGGGATTTCTTCTGGTTCGGAGTGTTGATCGGCCTCATGGTCCTGTCTTCGGTCGTGGTCCAGATGTTTAGCTGGTTCTGGTTCAAATACGACCGGGAGCTGGAGGGTTTCGATGAGCAAACTGCCAAGAATGTCCTCTTGGGAGGCTGCATCAAACTTTCATTCCTGCTACATGTACTTCAGCTCGGATTTTTTTGCAGGTAGCTAACTTTTTATTTTGATCAGAGAAGTTAGTAAAATAAATAAAAATAAATTGGTCATTTAGCAGAGGGGTTAAGTGCCTTGCTCAAGGACAGATTTTTCACCTAGTCGGTTTTTGCTTGGGGATTAGAACCAGCGACCTTTCAGGTTACTGGTACAACGCTCTTAACCACTAAGCTACCTGCCGCCATAAACACTTGCATGCACGTGATTCTCATGTGGATGTTTGTCAACGACACCCTGTTTTATCACAGTGTACTAGAGATGCGTATACGATTTCATATTTGGTCAAAAATGTTTTTGCTTACTGGAGTGTAGTCATAATCTCTTCTAACTGATTTAACATATTGGGATAATGCTTTTTATGGCGAATTTAGTTGATGTTTCTATAATAAATGATGGGAAATAAAATTTGATTGATTTGATATATAATAATAACTATAATTTCCTCTGCAGGTTTTATGTAGCCTATAGAAATGGATTTCCTAAGCCATCTTTCCAAATAAGAGAAATACATGTCAGGGAGTTCCCATTTGTCATGTTAATACTGAGGCTCACAGAGCAGCTCATGCACAGCTAATAACATTTGACTTGTGTAGAAACCATCAAGTGACCACCCTGTTTTGTCAGCTGTGTAGCCAAAGCCAGTGTGCTGTGTAGAAACCATCATGTGACCACCCTGTTTTGTCAGCTGTGTAGCCAAGGCCAGTGTGCTGTGTAAAGAACCATCATGTGACCACCCTGTTTTGTCAGCTGTGTAGCCAAAGCCAGTGTGCTGTGTAGAAACCATCATGTGACCACCCTGTTTTGTCAGCTGTGTAGCCATAGCCAGTGTGCTGTGTAGAAACCATCATGTGACCACCCTGTTTTGTCAGCTGTGTAGCCAAGGCCAGTGTGCTGTGTAGAAACCATCATGTGACCACCCTGTTTTGTCAGCTGTGTAGCCAAGGCCAGTGTGCTGTGTAGAAACCATCATGTGACCACCCTGTTTTGTCAGCTGTGTAGCCAAGGCCAGTGTGCTGTGTAGAAACCATCATGTGACCACCCTGTTTTGTCAGCTGTGTAGCCATAGCCAGTGTGCTGTGTAGAAACCATCATGTGACCACCCTGTTTTGTCAGCTGTGTAGCCAAGGCCAGTGTGCTGTGTAGAAACCATCATGTGACCACCCTGTTTTGTCAGCTGTGTAGCCATAGCCAGTGTGCTGTGTAGAAACCATCATGTGACCACCCTGTTTTGTCAGCTGTGTAGCCAAGGCCAGTGTGCTGTGTAGAAACCATCACGTGACCACCCTGTTTTGTCAGCTGTGTAGCCAAAGCCAGTGTGCTGTGTAGAAACCATCATGTGACCACCCTGTTTTGTCAGCTGTGTAGCCATAGCCAGTGTGCTGTGTAGAAACCATCATGTGACCACCCTGTTTTGTCAGCTGTGTAGCCAAAGCCAGTGTGCTGTGTAGAAACCATCACGTGACCACCCTGTTTTGTCAGCTGTGTAGCCAAGGCCAGTGTGCTCTGTCTTGACAACCTCACTCCCTACCTACACAGATGATAAGTTGCCAAGTGGAAGACATATTTTAGAATGAGGTAAATAGGCCTATGTCTACACCCTGTTCTCTGGCAATGACGGGTGTGTCTATTTGTTTATTGCTGCTTAGTAACACACAAGATGGGAATTAAAACTATTTAGGTCGTGGTATAAGGACCTTACAGTTTGGTCAACTTACTGCCCATCTACACAGATGATAAGTTAGCTAAGTGGAATACATTTTTGGAATGATGTCCATGTTCTATTGTCCTTGGCAGGTGTTTTCCTGTTGTTGATTGCTGCTCCTACTAACAGATAGTGTTTGTTCACAGACACATCTCAGCCATATGGCAGGGCTTCTGTGTGTGGTGGCGGAGGGAGCAGGGCTCGGGGTTCGCCGTGTACCTGACCCACGACCTGAGCATGCTGCGCCTCATCGAGACCTTCTGTGAGAGCGCACCGCAGCTCACCCTCATGACCCACATCATGCTGCACACCAACGAGGCCAGGACGGTACAGTGTGAGTTGCTGTCACCTCTACACAGTACACACACCTCTACACACACCAACAAGGCCAGGACGGTACAGTGTGAGTTGCTGTCACCTCTACACCTGGGGGGGGTTCATCCCAAATGGCACCCTATTCCTTTTATAGTGCACTACTTTTGAGCAGGGCCCATAGGGTTCTGGTCTAAAGTAGTTGGACCAAATAGGGAATAGGGTACCATTTGAGACACTTCCCTGTTATTCTGGACACCAGACTGGAGTAGAATGCACCACTGATGCTGTACACCAAGGGTCCATAATTACATTCAGCAGCAGGCTGAGTTCTTTTCTTGAGCGGATGGTCGGGGCCGGGCCGGAACATATTTATGACTACATTTTACACTGCAAATGGACTGCAAGAAGCCCAAACAGATACAGGGAAATACGATCACATAGTATGGCATAATCACACACTATGCCTCTCAATGTGTGGAAATATTTGGGAACAGATTCCCTCAATAAAAATAACTTTAGATGAGTTCCTGGTGATTTTACGGTAATTTATGTCCAAAAGTATTTAAAAACACACAACAACAACAAAAAATTGCTCACAAAACTTGGGGGGGGGGGGTTAAATAAAATCACCCATAGGCTGAATTTGGCCCTCAGGCCACCTATTGGGGAACCCTGCTATAGGTTATTGAGAAGTGTAAATAAGTTCCTCATACCATTATTGTGGCCCTCAGTGAGTTTTTAGAATAGTTTACACAAGGTGTTAGTTACACATTGAGGTTACACACCATTTTTTCTCTCTATATCTCATTTAAATTGAGTACAGGCTTAACTGAATGACAACAGAGACAGAATACAATATGGAATTTGATTGAATAGTTTGGGGTAGGCCTTGTCTCAGAGGAATGCTCCTCAGAGCCATATGCTGATGACAGGTTGCCCTATGCTGGGCAGAACGGGGATCCGATAACGGGCCTTCAGTTGGTGGTGGAAGGTCGTTTGAAGACCGTTACTGCTAACAGCAAGTGGGAGACACAAGGTTTGAATTGACATAAATACTCCCCAAAGATTCATGCCCATTGGTTGAAGGAAAGGAAAGTGATTACGAGTGAGCCCATAGGTTAATCAGCAAACGTGGTGGAATTGCCTTAGTGTGCCATGCTCATAGGCTGAAGTTAATAGGTAAAGGCCATTCCGCACACTTGCTAATAGTAAAGGAGGAGGAAAGACATGACACTATGCTGATGAGGTAACATTATTACACTTCCATATATAGTTGGAAGTCGGAAGTTTACATACACTTAGGTTGGAGTCATTAAAACTTGTTTTTCAACCACTCCACAAATTTATTGTTAACAAACTATAGTTTTGGCAAGTCGGTTTAGGACATCTACTTTGTGCATGACACAAGTAATTCTTCCAACAATTGTTTACAGACAGATTATTTCACTTATAATTCACTGTATCACAATTCCAGTGGGTCAGAAGTTTACACTAAGTTGACTGTGCCTTTAAACAGCTTGGAAAATTCCAGAAAATAATGTAATGGCTTTAGAAGCTTCTGATAGGCTAATTGACATAATTTGAGTGAATTGGAGGTGTACCTGTGGATGTATTTCAAGGCCTACCTTCAAACTCAGTGCCTCTTTGCTTGACTTCATGGGAAAATCAAAAGAAATCAGCCAAGACCTCATAAAATAAAATTGTAGACCTCCACAAGTCTGGTTCATCCTCGGGAGCAATTTCCAAAAGCCTGAAGGTACCACGTTCATCTGTACAAACAATAGTACGCAAGTATAAACACCATGGGACCATGCAGCCGTCATACCGCTCAGGAAGGAGACGCGTTCTGTCTCCTGAAGAGAAACGTACTTTGGTGTGAAAAGTGCTAATCAATCCCAGAACAACAGCAAAGGACCTTGTGAAGATGCTGGAGGAAACAGGTACAAAAGTATCTATATCCACAGTAAAACAACTCCTATATCGATATAACCTGAAAGGCCGCTCCAAAACCGCCATAAAAAAGCCAGACTACGGTTTGCAACTGCACATGGGGACAAAGATCGTACTTTTTGGAGAAATGTCCTCTGGTCTGATGAAGCAAAAATAGAACTGTTTGGCCATATTGACCATTGTTATGTTTGGAGGTAAAAGGGGGGCTTGCAAGCCGAAGAACACCATCCCAACCGTGAAGCACGGGGGTGGCAGCATCATGCTGTGGGGGTGCTTTGCTGCAGGAGGGCCTGGTGCACTTCACAAAATAGATGGCATCATGAGGAAGGAAAATGATGTGGATATATTGAAGCAACATCTCAAGACATCAGTCAGGAAGTTAAAGCTTGGTCGCAAATTGGTCTTCCAAATGGACAATGACCCCAAGCATACTTCCAAAGTTGTGGCAAAATGGTTTAAGGACAACAAAGTCAAGTAATTGGAGTGGCCATCACAAAGCTCTGACCTCAATCCCATATAACATTTGTGGGCAGAACTGAAAAAGCGTGTGCGAGCAAGGAGGCCTACAAACCTGACTCAGTTACACCAGCTCTGTCAGGAGGAATGGGCCAAAATTCACCCAACTTATTGTGGGAAGCTTGTGGAAGGCTCCTCGAAACGTTTGACCCAAGTTTAACTATTTAAAGGCAATGCTACCAAATACTAATTGAGTGTATGTAAACTTCTGACCCACTGGAAATGTGATGAAAGAAATATAAGCTAAAATAAATAATTATCTTTACTATTATTCTGACATTTCACATTCTTAAAATAAAGTGGTGATCCTAACTGACCTAATACAGGGATTTTTTACTCGGATGAAATGTCAGGAATTGTGGAAAAACTGAGTTTAAATGTATTTGGGTAAGGTGTATGTAAACTTCCGACTTCAACTGTACCTGCTATGCTTATGAGGTAACGTTATAATCATTACCATAAATATATTATATGCTAATGAGGTAACATTAGAATGACTACCCTATAAATACCGGCTATACTGATGAAGTAACATTATAATGACTACCCTATAAATACCGGCTATACTGATGAGGTAACATTATAATGACTACCCTATAAATACCGGCTATACTGATGAGGTAACATTATAATGAACTACCCTATAAATACCGGCTATACTTGATGAGGTAACATTATAATTGACTACCCTATAAATACCGGCTATACTGATGAGGTAAACATTATAATGACTACCCTATAAATACCTGGCTATACTGATGAGGTAACATTATAATGACTACCCTATAAATACCGCTATACTGATGAGGTAACATTATAATGACTACCCTATAAAATAACCGGCTATACTGATGAGGTAACATTATAATGACTACCCTATAAATACGGCTATACTAATGAGGTAACATTATAATGACTACCCTATAAATACCGGCTATACTGATGAGTAACATATAAGGATACCCATATAAATACCGGGCTATACTACTACCCTATAAATACCGGCTATACTGATGAGGTAACATTATAATGACTACCCTATAAATACCGGCTATACTGATGAGGTAACATTATAATGACTACCCTATAAATACCGGCTATACTGATGAGGTAACATTATAATGACTACCCTATAAATACCGGCTATACTGATGAGGTAACATTATAATGACTACCCTATAAATACCGGCTATACTAATGAGGTAACATTATAATGACTACCCTATAAATACCGGCTATACTGATGAGGTAACATTAGAGACGGAAAATAATGAACGATGTGGAAGGTGCGTTCTACGACGCGCTAGCGGAGTATAACTGACTTTCCACGGTGTTGCATTATTTTCCAGAGAACGCATAGAGCCCTGAGTTGATTATCCCTTGTATACCATGGCTATAATTTAACACATTTACCTCTAGAAATGTGTTAAAATGCCGGTAGAAATATGTTCAACATCCACTGAAGTAGCTAGCAAGTTGACTAGATAGCTACAGTAGTTGCCGTGGTAACCAAACAAACAGACTTGCTAGTTTAGCTACCAAAACCATCAGTCCTAGCCATATACCTTTTTCAATTCGACTTTTGCTTTCACAAGCAGCAAAAAAAAAAGAAGGAAATATTAACTATAGCCATTGAATTCTACCGTGTAAATATACTGTGAGTTATAGGGAAATAATGCACGCTCCAGAATACCCTTCCCTTCAAGCCAATCAGAAAGGAGTATTCAACAATGCCATGGTATAATTAAGCAGAAAGGTACGATGGGGGTGTGGTATATGGCCAATATACCACGGCTAAGGGCTGTTCTTACACACGACGAAACGCAGAGTGCCTGGATACAGCCCTTAGCGGGGGTATATTGGCCATATACCACAAACCTCCAAGGTGCCTTATTGCTATTATACACTGGTTACCAACGTAATTAGAGAAGTAAAAATAAATGTTGTGTCTTACCCGTGGTATGATATACCACGGCTGTCAGCCAATCAGCATTCAGGGCTCAAACCACCCAGTTTATAATACCTTATAAATACTTGCTATGCTGATGAGTGAGCTAGGGAGCAATGGAAGTTATGAGTTTACTAAATGAATGAAAAGTGACGATCCATTCAGACCAGCCTTACTGATTGAACTTTCGTGACTACATTAGTCTCAAATTTCAGGATATTTTTTGTTCTGTGTGCTTAAAAAAAAAATAAAAATAAAAAACCGGCTATACTGATGAGGTAGGAAACAGCTGCGGCTATACTGATGAGGTAGGAAACAGCTGCTGGGTCGTTCCACTAAATGAGTCCCTTTTGTGTAGTGTAAGTTGGTGAAAAAAAACTTAACTATTCCAAGCACCACAAAGTCATATTTGGCATATCAATTCTTCTTTTCATTGTTGTGATAGTTTCACATCTCATTTGTAGGTGTGAGTGTCGTGGCGTCAACTACTTCCATAGCCTGGATGGTTGTGGACTACCACCGATCCCTGCGTTCCTTCCTCCCAGACAAGGCCAAGCAGGGCTGGGGCTCCGCCTTGGTCTACTTCCTGTGGAACCTGCTTCTCATCGCCCCGCGCGTGGCATCAGTCGCCCTCTTCGCCACAGTCCTGCCCTCCTACGTGGCCGCCCACTTCCTGCTTATCTGGCCAGTGCTGGTGTTCTGGGTGTGGCGTCAGGAGACGGACTTCATGGACAGCGCCAGCGGAGAATGGCTCTACCGGGCCACCGTAGGTCTCATCTGGTACTTCAGCTGGTTCAACGTGGCGGAGGGAGGGACCAGAGGGAGGAGCATCATCTATCACTCCTTCATGGCCACGGACGGCGGGATCCTGCTGGTCACATGGTGGTTCTACAGAGACCCGGTCCTGACGCAGTCCTACGCCCCCATCCTGCTGGCCACTCTGCCCCTCACCTACCTGATGGGAGTCCTGTTTAAAACCCTCTACTACTGCTGTTTTCACCCCACGCTGTGGAGGCCCCCCGTCAGGGAGGCAGTGGTAGGAGAGGAGCTGCCTGATGGTCAGGAGGTGGTGTTCAGGACCGTCACCCCCGAGGCTAGTAGTCCCCAGTTCCATAACAAGAGGATGGCAAGCCATGCCACTCACTTCTACTCCGAGGAGCAAACCAGGAAGCTCAGTAAGACGAACGGGCGCGAGGCCAACACTGTTGTCTGACTGGATGTGCTTGAACTAGACTCTTATTTACATGCGATTTATGTTTTTCATGCTGTATTTTTTGTATAAATAAAGCGCTGCACAACTCATTGTAAACCAGACTTTATGTTACAATTAGCATATTCTGGGAAACAGTGATAAGCTCAGAGGTTTCGTCGCAAATGGCACCTTATTCCCTATATAGTGCACAACTTTTGTCCAGGGCCCATAGGGATCTGATCTAAAGTAGTGCACTATCTAGGGAATAGGGTGCCATTTGGGTCGGAGGTTACATTGATCGAAATTACAGTTGTTAGGAAACAGCTGCTGGGTCGTTCCACTAAATGAGTCCCTTTTGTGTAGTGTAAGTTGGTGAAAAAAAACTTGATTTCACCTAATTGTAATATTCTTTCATAAATAAATAAATGACTTATAGTGACTGCCTATTAAGTGCCAAATAAAGTAACAGGGTTGACCGTAACAGGGTTGACCGTAACAGGGTTGACCGTAGCATGTTTGACTATTTCATCTTAAATCAGCCATAAATCCCCTTGTGACAGGGGGAATGGAAGCTTGGTGTGTGCAACAGGGAGGGGTAATTGATTGCAAACTTCACAGAACTATCTAAATTGTTAAAACATTTCTAGCCTGTCAACCCTGTTACCAATAGATAGACGTGTTATACTTGACCTGCTCCGTTTTCCACCACAAAACACCAGAAAATGGCCAAAAAGAGTAGAACTAGCTCACCTGCATTTACACTATGATTTGACTATTAGATGGTCAATGTTTATTTTGAAACAAATATTTAAAAAGGAATCATATTAAAATGAGAGTTTAGTTCACGTAACAGGATTGACCTTAAAATGAGGACAGGTTGTTGTTGTTTTTTACCTTAAAATGAATCACTAATAACATTAAATAAATAATAGCAACAAAATCACTAGGGCTTTACAATAATGGTAAAAACTTGGAGAAATGTTAAAATCTTCCTAGAAGTGACTTTATGTTTTGTTTTACCCCATATGTAACTGTGTTGTTGTTTTTATCGCACTGCTTTGCTTTATCTTGGCCAGGTCGCAGTTGTAAATGAGAACTTGTTCTCAACTGGCTTACCTGGTTAAATAAAGGTGAAAAAAAGGGTGCACAGAGGGACATGTCAAAATGCTTTGGCACTTTAGCAAGTGTTAATTCATATTGAAACACACAGTTAATAGAATTTTCGATTTGGTCAATATTAAATGGCACTTCATTTAATATAACAGGCTTGTAAATTTCAATATTGGTGCACAAATTTCTACTTAAAATATTAAAGGGACGCAAAAAGGGACTCATTTCGTGAAACGACCCCGTCACCATTCATGCCGCCAAAGGTAATTTATGATGCCTGTTGTACGATATCAACTATGTTTTACCACCGTTGAACATGCTGCGAGGAAGTGTTTGCATGTTTAGAAGAATAAATAATGGGACTATTTTATCCGTTTGTATTATTGTGTGAATTTGGGAGATTGTTACCTATCTACAGTGTTCTGAAAGTTATTTGACGTTTATTTACATTTCTCACTTTCCTGTTGTTACTGTTCTGCTCTTTTTTAACTCCCTTGTCTGTAACTGTGCAGACAGTGCAACCAATAATTACGGTGACGTTCACTCATCCAACAGCTTCATTTGTATTTGTTTGTATCAAATCTATGTAAGCTTACACTGTACGTACACATGGAGGGAACTTTAATACAGTTACTCTTTAATCGCACTGTATGGCTGGGTCCCAAATGGTACCCTATTCCCTATAGGTGGCACCCTATTCCTTCTATAGTGTACTACTTTTGACCAGGGCCCAATGTTCTGGACAATGTTCTTGATGTATAGCCATACCTGTGGCTTTGTGAAGTAATGTTCCTAGAATGTTAAGGTTTTCTGTATGTAACATTGGACACTGCAGAATGGAACTCGATATTCCATAGTTTAACTGTCATCTCATTCATTCTTGCACATGATTGTTGTCACACAATGTGTTGTGTGAACCTTTTTCCCCTGAAGGTCAACACTTCAACCTTTCTCTTACCTCATCATTTAAAGAGCGTGTAATGCTGGCCTATTAAAATCCCAGGGTTATGTCTTATCTTTGGTTTATATCTGTGGTTTCAATATTATTTTCTTAAAAGGTCCTCAAGTACTTCCAGGGCATCACATATTGACATCGTCAGTACGTGAGTATAATATCAATTAATATGGAGTTGGTCCCCCCTTTGCTGCTATAACAGCCTCCACTCCTGTGGGAAGGCTTTTCACTAGAAGTTTGAACATTGCTGCGGGGACTTGCTTCCATTCAGCCACAAGAGCATTAGTGAGGTCGGGCACTGATGTTGGGCGATTAGGCCTGGCTCACAGTCAGCGTTCCAATTCATCCTAAAGGTGTTCGATGAGGTTGAGGTCAGGGCTCTGTGCAGGCCAGTCAAATTCTTCCACACCGATCTCGACAAACCATTTCTGTATGGAGCTCGCTTTGTGCACGGGGGCATTGTAATGCTGAAACAGGAAAGGGCCTTCCCCGAACTGTTGCCACACAGTTGGAAGCACAGAATCGTCTAGAATGTCATTGTATGCTGTAGCATTAAGATTTCCCTTCACTGGAACTAAGGGGCCTAGCCCAAACCACGAAAAACAGCCCCAGACCATTATTCTTCCTCCACCAAACTTTACAGTTGGCACTATGCATTGGGGCATTTTTATGCGCTACGCGCTTCAGCACTCGGCGGTCCCGTTCTGTGAGCTTGTGTGGCCTACCACTTCGCGGCTGAGCCGTTGTTGCTCCTGGACGTTTTCACTTCACAATTACAGCACTTACAGTTGACCGGGGGCAGCTCTAGCAGGGCAGAAATTTGACGAATTGACTTGTTGGAAAGGTGGCATCCTCTGACGCTACCACGTTGAAAGTCATTGAGCTCTTCAGTAAGGCCATTCTACTACCAATGTTTGTCTATGGAGATTGCATGGCTGGGTGCTCGATTTTATACACCTGTCAACAACGGGTGTGGCTGAAATAGCCAAATCCACTAATTTGAAGGGGTGTCCACATACTTTTTGTATATATAGTGTATCTCTGTCTTCAAACGTGACGTAAGTTGAAGTGCACTATTTTGTACATGAGGACCCATAGATGGGTTGGTTGTTTAGCAACAAAACTGACGCGTGCGCAACTATGGGGCAAAACAGACGGGGCTTAGATGGTTAACAACATGTAAACTATATTTAGTCTCCAAATGTTTATTGAAAACGTAAATACATTTGCACAATGAGCACTTGTTGTCTCTCAAATACAACGTTACAGTTGTTGTTTAGATAGCTAGCGAATTTTTGCCATATTAGCATTGACATGACATCAGTCAAAACACTTCAAAGCAAGACATGGTATCAAGAACAAGATGAAACTAACTGAAATGAGTCACTTACAATTCCCCACATGGCAGTTTCTTATCATTGTTGGTAGCTATCTGGCCTTCCAGAATCACAACAACTCATGGACTTCTTCCCCATTTGAAGCGTGCCCATCGTTTTTTTGTGACGTTGTCAGATAACCCATCTATAGTGACTTCAATAACTTTGTTAATTTGCTTTAATCTTTAATAGTATTGTTTACTATCTGATCAGGTTGTCTACAACTTGAAATACTCTGTCGTATGCAAATGTACATTACTGGCCCAATTAAAACCAACGGGCAGAATGTAGCGCTGTGCTACACATTACTGCTGGATTTCTTTAAACGCTAATAACGGGAGATTACCATAGGGATATATAGAGATCATTACTTGGAAATAACGCGTTTTTGCATGGACACTGCCATTGAAGGTTTCCACCATTTTAAGGTAGTTAACTGGGTGGGGATTCCTATGGGTTGGGAGCGATCAGCCAATGATCAGAGCACTTTGTTCTTCTTCAAATTGGTTTGCCTAGTTTGTAAATGGCTTTAAGCCTAGTTTGACCGTCATCAAGTGGCCAAAATTAATTAATGACACGATTTGGTTCAAGACTCCAGCACTGCAGGTGGCGGTAAGTCACCAATATTAACTTTACACTTTTTTTTTTTAAACGGAGAAGAAAATGGACTATTTTATAATAATAATAATAATAATAATAATATAATAATAATAATAATATAATAATAATAATAATAATAATATGCCATTTAGCAGACGCTTTTATCCAAAGCGACTTACAGTCATGCGTGCATAATTTTTTTTTTTTGTGTATGGGTGGTCCCGGGGATCGAACCCACTACCTTAGCATTACAAGCGCCGTGCTCTACCAGCTGAGCTACAGAGGAGCCTCAATGGCACAGACACCACAATGGCACAGATACAATGTTGCTATCTCTATACATCTCTATGGAGATTACATGCACCTGCATATAAAAGCGAACTTGCTTGATACCAAAAACCCCACAAGAATAAACCAGCAGATGGCGGGCATGTTCACCAGGACGCAACGTTTTGTAAAGTTCAGATATAAATATGCTATGTGGAACAAACATGCTTCTCTGACATGTAGCATAATGAATCAAGTCTGCTCTATTCGTGGCATTTCTATCTGCAACGTTTCGACTACTGAATGCGGCCCAGTTGATCTCTCATTGTTACCACGTCTAGTGATTGGTCCCGTTCCCCTTGCTCAGACGTTGCACGCATCAACCAATGGTTGCGTGCCACGTCATCGACTGACAGATTGCTATAATGCTGCGTTCACGTGTTAGTCGGAACTAGGAAACTCTGAAATGTCCAACTTGCTAACTGGTTGTAGTTAAACACCTGCCTTGTTCAACCTGTTTGCATGTCAGAAATTTCAGAGTTTCCTTGTTCCAATTAGTAAGTGAACGCGACATAACTTTTTTTTTTTTTTACATTTTAGCAGACGCTCTTATCCAGAGCGACTTGCAGTTAGTGAGTGCACATGGGAAACGAACCCACAACCCTGGCGTTGCAAGCGCCATGCTCTACCAACTGAGCTACAGGGGACTACTAACATATGATGTGGTTAGCTGATACTGTATGTAAAATACCTATCCAGGCGTTGTAAGTTCTGGGCGCGTTCCTCTGCCCAGGCGTTGTAAGTTCTGGGCGCGTTCCTCTGCCCAGGCGTTGCTGACGCCTGCCAGATCTTACATATGTTATAGCAATCTGTCAGTTGATGAAACA